CAACGATACTGAAATACAAACGGTAAAAAATATTCCGATAAAGACATCTACAATAGATTAAAAAAACGTCTGAACCGATTGACACAGTTGACAGCAAAAATAAATATGGTCTTCGATAATTTAAGAACTCGAACTTTTATCAATACAAATTAAATTTTCAGTCGAGGGAAAGCTGAAAACATCTCGGAAGCTTTTGCAAGTCCCACTCGGCACCTCATGCCTCCCAGTCAGCCGGACGTCGGTACCCCCTCCCCTCCCAGCCAGCAGCCTCATCGTACCTGAAGACCTTCCCATAGCCAGGTGTCGTACCTCCCCTCCCCAGTCGGCCGGGCGTCCTCTCCCCTCCCCCCACATTCCTCAGCCAGCCGGGTGTCGAACCCTCCCTCCCCCCCAGCCAGCCTGGTGTCGTACCCTCCCCTCCCCCAGCCAGCCTGGTGTCGTACCTTGCCCCTCCCCAGCCAGCTAGTAGTCGTCTCCCCCAGCCAGCCGGGCGTCGTACCTGAACACCTCGTTCTCTGAGCGCCGTGTGGTGACGGCCGCCAGCCTCTGACGCTCGGCCACCTCCCGCTCGCGCATCTTGCGCCGCTGCTGCCGCGTCTTCGGCTTGGGTACCTTCTTTACGAGCGTCACGGATTTTTCGTCGTCGCCCTTTTCCTCCTCGTCTTCTCCGAGGCCTCCCGACATCTCCTTAATCCAGTCGGCCTGAGCACACACGACATGAGTGAGATTCCCATCCTATTATGCAGAGGCACACCATAAAATATATTTATCCTCACAAGCAAGCGAAATGTCTCATTTTGGTCCTAATGCTCTTGAATATATCGCCAGGCTAGGCACCCTCATCTATTCACTCTGTTACGAGCGGCAGACCGCATCGAGACCACTCAGTCCCCGATAACTAGGTACGTTTTATGGGTCGACCATTACAATGTGGGTATCGGATGATAATGGGTGATAACGACAGCCGGCAAAAAGACAATTTAGGTATTTGTTGCAGATATATGCAAGGAAAAGGTGTACTGACGTGACGATGACGTGAGCATAATAATCCTAACACATCAATTTAACATAGCTGGTCCTAAAATAAAGGGCCCAGCTGACGGCGTGTGATACTGTCGCGTAGAAAGCCATCACGTACCTCTGTGGGCCGCCGCGAGGGGAACTTGGCGGTAGTCTGGCGCTCCCAGCGCTGGAAGTCGGCCTCCTTCTTGTGTTCGACCAGGACCGCCTCCTCGAGAAGCGCCGAGTGATCGGCTGCCTCCGGGTGGTACGACTGACCTGGGGATAGATACCGGCGAGTCGGGTTAGCGTATGTCTGAACTGGGAGAGGAATAGGGGCCTGGCACAGTACGACTGGCCTGAAGAGTCGGTTCGGGTCAATGTACGACTGGCCTTCGGGTCGATAAAGAGGCCGCGTAAAGGAGCAACTAGCGCCCTGGGCTCAGTGCAGGAAGTCGGGTCAAGGTGTGACTGATGTGAGGGAAGGTACAGGGCCTGGTCGAGGTGCGACTGACCAAGGTACGGCTCTCGCGAGATTAAGCGGTAGGTTTTGCACTTTTACATTTCCGGTTACATCTCAGAAAATAATCGATCTACGATGAAGCCATTTTACACGATCATGGCCCAGTGTGGCCAAATTGGTGATGTTGCGGGGAAAGTCACCCCCAATGAAAAGTATAATGACATCCTCAGAAATTTTAAAATTACATCATCACGACGTTTTTGTCGTGAAAGCATACCTACCTAGTGTAGGAATAAAGACTGAAAATGTTCCAATGTACGATTCGCACCGTCATACTCGTACTGTCGCGCTTGCAATGTCGTTGTTTTACATCTTTAATGACAATTTTTTTTTTTACTTTTCACTAGAACTTGACGTCAGGTATAGTTTTTTCCCACATTATCTGTAAAAACTGCACCTAAAATGAGGCTGAAGGCTGAAGACGAGTTTTTTTTTTTGAAAATAGTGACATCCTCGTACGACTTTTTTTATACATCCTCCCCCTAACGCTAAATTAATTTGGTCACACTGTCATGGCCGGCTTGTTACCCAACAAGTCGGTCGCATCTTCAACACTCAAACGCTAAGACGACGAAGGTATAGCCTGAAGTACACTAAATTTTCTAGATGCAAAACCTACCGCTAAAACCCGCGAGACCTGTACAGGGTTCGGATCATTGTATATCATTATTTTGAACACTTACCATAGCTAGCCTGAAGTTTGAGGGAGGTGAGTATAATCTTGAACAGGAAATTGTTACTAACTCAACAACAAATCAAAGAGCTGATGACTTCGCTAGCGATCTATTGATCGCTGATGCGAGCTGACAACTTCGCCTGAAATCTTCGACTGACCTGGGAGAGCAGTCAAAAACTGATCTGGGATGTCAGAGACTACCTCCATTACAACTGACCTGCGTGCGGCGGCTCTACGGCCGGCAGCAGGGACCTCTTCACGCGCATGTAGAGCGGCCGGCGCACGGTGCCCTCGGTGCGGCAGCGGCGCATCTTTCGGAGCGCCGGCTCGAGCCAGTCGCCGGCCGGATCGGCTGCGAGATACGACAGACGGTGGGAGGGGAGGGTCAGACACCGACACTGAGAAGCCTGGGGGTGGGGGACGGGCGGCATAACACAATATTAAGCATAAACTAGCTAACGCGAGTCGTGAAAGACACTCGCAGAATCGACGGTGCCCTTCATAATTGAGCTAGGTAAGCATAGTCACTTATCAGTCATTGTCTCATTTTTCATTCAAAATAGTTATCAGGTCCTGTCTGGAAAACGAAAATTTTGCTGGCCAAGATAATTGACATTCGTCTTTCAATGCACGATCGGCTATCTGCGATGCGTTTACAGAGGATCGTTTTAAATTTCGAAAGGATTGTCTTACCAGTTTCGTCGTCCGCCCATGGGTCCTTCGGAAGCTGTTTCTTCTTTTCCTCTCCTTTCTTCAAAGCAATGTCATTGGATACAGCAGCCAGCAATTTGCTCGCAGCCTTCTTCCTGTTTGTCTTTGCTTTGATATACTCTGGTCGCTTGTCCTTGATGTAGTTGCTAAAAGAGAAAGCAAGGAATTATAACTAAATGCAAATACCAATAGCATAGCACTGCAAAACATGAGATAATACACAAAATTAAAAGTGAGGACTAAGGGCACTAGTCACTTGTAAGAAACTTACTCCTTTCACTGGCAGCATGTGAGTTTGAGGCCTCTCTTTATAGTGGATTTATAATTTCAAACACTGGAGCATGCAATGAATCAAGAGGTTTTCTGACTTACTGTTTCACTGGTACTTTGGCACCAGGGAGGCCCTTCAGGTTCTGAAAGCATCTCAGGTTGTCCTGGTCGACCTTGGGCCGTTTCGGTCGCTTCTGACGCAGCAGAACATCAGGATCGACCTCATCCGGGCTCTTGTCGATGGTGAAAATTTCATCACTCTCCTTCTCCGACACAAGACCACTGAAAAAGCATTGACAAATCATGAACTTCTATTACTTGCAGTTACATAGATGTGTGCCTTCATTCAACATAGCATTATCCTTACCCTTCCTTACTAATGACAGAAAATTTGAAGGCCGGCAAATCATCTTAAGTTAATTGGACACCTGTGGTGGCAACTGGCAACCAAGAAGTACCTAATGGCTCAAGGTCAGCAAGATGATTCACTCAAACAAAGGCATACCACTCTAAAATATGGACTTAAGTGTGGCACCTACCCAAAGCGCTCCTGTAGTCGAACATCATCTAGGTACTCGTCTACTTCTGAGATGTCTACTTGCTTCTTCCATGACTTCTTCTTGTTCCGAGGAATGCGGCCTTTACTCTTTGCCCCCATGTTAGCAGTTCCTGTAAGATCGGCAAATTTGACACTTCTGGGCTATTTTAAAATATAGAACAATTCGTTGGGCAAATATTCATATTGAGAATATTCGTCCTGTCCAGATTCCAAATATAAAGCAGTGATCTTCTGATCGATGACGACATGACGTGGGTACGCTTTTTAATTTCATGTTGATGTGAAACTGCGCCGTCAGCCCTAACTCTTCAACAACAACAAGCGCCGTCAGCCGTGAGTCCCGGCTAGATGCTTGAAACAAGCCTAACTTCCCAACAACATAAAAGATGTTATTATATAATATTTTGTGCAAAATCGCCATAAAACAACAAAACTTAAACAATGTGAATAAGCAGTCATACTTCCACACCAAGCTGCAAAAAGACCTTATTAGCTTCACAGCATAACACACGCACGGGGTAAATGTAGCAAGAGCGTCAAAATCACGAACGATAAGCTTCAGGAAGCCGCTACTAAATAGATTCGAGGTGATTGCCAGCCCTAGTTTCATTCAGTGTCCGTGGGTTCATGAAATCTGCACGACTGTTGGAAACATCTCAATGCGGATTGCGGGTGCAAAGACAATTGCTCTTAAAAAATTATATAGTTTGAATCATCAAAGACTGGAGTCCTCACTCCTCTGCATTCTATTGTGATCTCCGGAGTCTGCTCACATTCGCAATGCGAACTGCATTGCGAGTGCGACGGCTAAGCTAAAGCTAAACCAAGGCAAAAAGTAGCTACACTGTGATAAATGTTAACTAATTTCTAAGCTATTTGGCGACTTTTTACTAACAAAATGCGAGTAAACTTCCAGTCTACTCACAATTCGTTAGTGAAAAAGGGCCGTCGGATGACTAGGAAATTAGTGAACATTTCTTTTTTTTTCGTGTAGATGGCAGTGTGGACCACCTACACCACCATTTGTTACACCACAAAGCTACCCTGTCCTGAAGAGGGTGAGGCGAGGATGATGCATGTGCATTGTGACGGTACGTGAGCCTAATGTCAATCAGCAATAAATCGCCAGACTATCAAAAGATAACAGCACCGTGCAACTGATGCATTGTTCTGGACAAATCTCCAGAGAATAAACAGGTTCAGTCCAATTTGTTCATCACGACCCCCTTTGATCACTCCATCACTTATAATCAATAGCTGAATAGTGTTCAAAATCAAAAACATTTTATTTCATGTTCAAACATTCAAAACCGGTACACCACAGCCCATTCAGACATACAGCATCACCGTATCACAATGTCTTGAGGAACTCATTATAAGAGGCGACCGGCACCTGGGCCACATCGCGGCAGAACTCCTCGTCGGTGGTGCCCACCAGTCGGTCCAGGTTGACGTAGCCGGGCCGGCTGCGGTCGTACTGGTCGCGCCGCAGCATGTTCAGGATCAGGTGCCGCTGCCGCACGCGCCACGAGCGGTACGTCAGCACGTTGGGCGACTCGGCGATCAGCTCGTGCGTTAGGCCCATCTCGTTGTGAAGGTACTGAAGTCGGTCCTGCAGCGCCCAGCGCGACAGCATAAACACCTTCGGCTTCCCCAGAAGGATCTGCTTCAGCTCTGCACGCTCAAACCCGAACTCTTCTTTGATTGTGAATAGCGAGTCCTGCAAACATGGTTCACTAAGCTGCAGACGTGCATACTGGAACTTTTTAGTGAGCATTCAGCGAAAAAGGAAAGTTTATGCTCTGAAGAAAACATGCAAGCTCCAGTAGCTTAGAAGGGGGATATCCAAATGCTGAGCCAGCCGGTGAATGAGGACTCGTTTTTTTTAGAATCTGTATTTATTGGCGACTATTTGCTCCTGTGAATGCGATGCGACTATATGCGATGGTTGCCAACCCTTTCACAGCGGTGTCCAGAAACTAATATGGATAGGAGCTGATCGAGAAAAATTCCCTTAGACAAGCTTTGATTAAAAAAACTCCCATACCGAACGTGATCAGTGAACACACTAGCCAACTGTGTCACAAACGTGCTCCTAAGCACCCACCTTGACGTGTTGCACGTTGCTGGTGATGAGGTCTGGGCACTTGGCTGCTAACTGTCGCAGCTCGGTCGCTCGGAGCCCGAACAGACCAGCGTACAGACCCAGGCGACGGTCGATGCGCGCCGTGCTGAACATGAGCCAGAAGGGGTCGCGGGAGAGCACAGAGGAGATCTGCTCCCGGGTGAACCGCTTCGCCTCCAGATAGTTGACCCGCACCTGGGCCGGGACAGGGGGAGGGCAAAGCGATAGCATCGGTGGTCAACGGTTATTGCATCAGGAAGTGCTGTTTGGTATTTGCTACTAAAAAATGATATCGCTGAAAGTTCGAAAGCAAAACGGAACAAAATAAAATGTTGGATAACCCCTAATTGTGTAACCACAAAACAATTGTGAAATCAATTTTTCTTCGGAGAGTTTTCTATGACATACACTCAAAGACCACAAGCGAACTCAGACGGCTCAGACGGCAATATGTACCCGAAGATCGTCGAGTCGCTCCTTGAAGATGAGCGGGTTGCGCGTGATGAAGGCGGCCAGCCGGTCACTCGGCACGCCGGCGTCGTGCAGGAAGCGGATGCGCGGCGCCATGTCACGCTCCCACTGGAGTCGCAGCACCAGCTGCGGGATGCCGGGCCGCCGATCCCAGCCGGACACGTCCACGCCGAGCGCCAGCAGCCGGCGCAGGTCGGCCGAGGCGGCCACGAACGGCGCCAGGCCGCGGGTCCGCACCGGCGCGCCGCCCGCCCGCCCGCGCTCCACGGGGAGACGGTCATCGCTCGGCGCTGGTGGGTCTGACTGCGGCGGGGCGCTGGGCAGAGGTGCTGAAAGTGACTCACCACGACTGGGATCCGTTTGAGACTCACAGGCCAGATGAACAAGCTCAGAGTCACACTTGCTACCATCATTGTTGATTTCATGGGAAAAAGCTATGGCAGGTGCTGGTTTTGTTTTGGACAGGAGTTTACTGTCATCCCATGGATGTTCTGAATAAATGCATCTGGTGGAAACCATGTTGGCACATGCCACATGTAGAGGTACATAGTTGGCTTGTTGCTTTGACCTTAAAGCAGACAACACACTATAACTTCTCTGATGATTGGCTTCTTTCAATAATGGGTGTATTGAGGAGCTGAGAAGAAATCTGGGCTTCACTTTTGCTACAGCTGATGTCCACATTGTATTTCTGAAAGCAAGAAATAATGTTATTAACATGATACATGGTATCAGATACCATGGAATAACAGGAATTTATGCATAACACCAACAGGCAACACATTCCAAATATTAATGATGTATACTCAAATTTTTTGAACATTGGATTATTTGGAGGGTTATGGATCAATGGATTCAACCTGAACCATTGTTTGGTTTGATCTGATCATCCATGGTCCTTTACTAAAGCACCTATGCAACTTGCCAGCTAATGAAGTAAGTACAGGGTGTCCCAGAATTACCCGGACATTTATTTTCTGGCTAAAAGTACGATTGCGCTCGATTCTAATGATATACAAACATCATACTTTTATAAGATATCCCTTAGCTGTCGAGCTTGGGGACTGTGTGCTTTTGGTGACCGGTAACGACTCGAGTCAAGTATTATCCAGAGTCAAGTAAGAGTAGTCCTTTTCCGTTTTCAGCTTAAGCCACTAATAGGCAACCATGGTGAATCAACTCCCGTTTTCAACTTTGTAAACGGACTTTCGGCATGGTTTTTGCTGGAGAGCTTCAGCAGGTCATCTGCAAGCAGTTAGGATTGAGCAAAGCGCAATTATATCAGCTAACGAAGCCAGAGAGAGCAAGAGATAAACCTGATTGACAAGCTTGGGCTCGGCCAAAAAGGGCCATGCACCAGTTGTCAAACGGGTGGTTGCTTGTCATGGACAACAAACGTCACTGATCTAGCTAAAAACTAGCTAAACGATAGATCAGGATTATCTAAAGAACATCGGTCTACTTTCCACCACTATCTTCGCAAAATTTTGGAATTTGGGGTCCCACGCCTGAAAAATATGCGAAAACTACGGGAAAAGCAGCGAAAATCACTACAATTCATCCCAAAAATATAACATATACAACAAAAAATTATATTGAAGCACACTTTGTGGTCTAACGAAGGTATTCTGTCATTTGAACCGCCCGAAAAAGGCGTGTGTGAACGTCAGATGGCTGCAACGCCCCAACAGCAGAGACGGCCAGGCACCCGTCGAAAATCAAATTGTGAGACATTTTGAGCCACTGTGCACTCATTCGGCTTGATATGATGGCCCAACGACAGCCGTTAGCACAGAGTACTACTGCGGTAATATTCTACCAGTAAAAAAACTGGATGCCGTAAACCAAATGGCCATGGACGGGTTTGTTTTGGAAACCAAATCTGTTGGAAGCCAAAGGTCCCGCCATGTTCAGACATGGAGCTTCTCCACTTCAGATGTAAAAAACGCGGCAAAAGTGGTGTAGGCAGCAATTTTTGTTTTGGGGGATAATGCCTTATGACCTGGGAACACTTTGATGTTATGTTTATCTTATATAATCGTATTATCCTCCGGCAACAGGTCAAAGAAAACAGGCCTTCACCCAGTTTCGGGAGAGCCGTAAAACAACTGAGACCAGCAATGGCTGGCATTTTCAATCATTGTCGGCTGATCTTGTAACAAGCGTATCTATTGCATGTGCTATTTCACAGCCACCCTAGTTGACTATATAGGACGATAAAAAGAAAAAAGCGCAATCGTGTTTGCCTTATTTTATACGCTAATTAACAATGTCCGGGTAATTCTGGGACACCCTGTATTTATCATCAATCATCTGCATGCCATACCAATACTTTTTTTGTTATACAACATTAATTATATTAGCTAACATCTTAACAAAGATATGTGATCACCACTAGACACAAATATAAATATTCATGAACCAGAACTAAGAACCTGACAGGGCATTTAAATTTTAAACCCTCATAAACTATGCATTAGGTATAATACTACCCTTGATTTTGGCACTACATGCCTACTAGCTACCTACCTACCTACATAGGTCTCTATAAAATGTGGCATTAGTAGACCGACATCACACACAGCCAGGTTTCAGTTTTCCAACTGAGGAGAGGCCCTGGAGGTTTGTAGGTTGTAGGGAAGGTTTGTATGTTTTTAGGTTGAAGGTTGTAGGTTAGGTTAGGTTAGGTCAGGTAAGGTTAGGTTTGTTCAGATTTTGTTAGAAAAAAAGCACCTCCAGGCTCCAGGTATAGCACCTCTCTTTAGTTAATAAACATCGTGAAATCTGCTCTTCTAACGCCTAGAACGTAACACACTGCAAGAATTTAATTCTTGAAACAATTTTTCAATACTCATCCGCTCTGGGTTTGAAAAACGAAAGGAAAATTTGCAAAACAAAAAAGTCTTAAAAGTTAAAGGAAATAGTTCACTTTCCTGAAATTAGTATTTTGCTATGGATTTATGTTTTTTATGCTCAAAATGATCAGAAAATAAAACAAAACGTTTTTGTAAAAAGGATTATTTTCTATATTTTAGTATAAGAAGAACTATATTCTATATAAAATAATGTTTGACGCGGAAGCTTATTACGCGTTGACCAATCATATTGCGTAGGACAAACCCATCGGCTGTAAGCAGCATTCTGATTGGCTGACGATGACGTGACTGCATTCCTCAGCAAGGCACGCATTCCTCTGCAAGGCACTCTTTTCGGAACGAAAAATGGAATATCTTCGTCTAGGGTGATCGTTGGGCCGTAAAAGCTTCTGATTTGTGCTAGTCTCAGCGCAAGCAACAAAACTGCTATTCCAGTTCCAAACCCCATGTTAAAAGTGAACTATTTCCTTTAAATAAAATAAAAGGCCTTCCCTCTTGAACAAGCTACACAGTACACTGACATATCAAGATCGACATCTTGTTGAGTACATGTAGTAGCACCCAAATACACTGTGGTAGCACCTTTAGTGCTTTATTGACTCTTTTAGTGCCCTGGGTTGGCCATGGTATCAGTAGCACCCAAGGCTATATAAACCTATGGATAAGATGGTTCTCCAGAATTAAATATACCCTGTGGTTCTCCAGTGCAATGCAACGTGTGAATGTGACTGAGCAGGGTTGCCAGATCCAGAATGGTCCTTATCGCCAAATTCGCCCCTCGAATTTCGCCAAAATTCGCCAAATAGGATGCGCTGTATAAGCATACGTAGCAGCGCAAGTTGGCGTTCGTGTAACCTATCTCGTTTCTCATATTCATCTACATAACAGCGTACCTTAACCAGCGCCAAATAAAATAGCAAAGGCAGAGGTGGGGATCTCGGGGGGGGGGGGGGTCAGGACCCCCCCTGAAAACGAATTACTGCTATGTAAGTCAATGGTACTGCATCCAGCCCGCCTCCATCTGCCCGGCATGGACACGGGCAGGACCCCCCTGACATTTTCTGCGCTACAAAAGGATATAGACTTGCTCCACTCTACGGCAGAGTCTTGGGGTCTCAGCATGAACCTCAGGAAGTGCGCCGTCATACGATTTAGGCGACGATTCCATGACTTCGAGCCCCGTGCATACACACTGGCTGGTGACACAATTCCCTGCGTTACGTCATGTAGTGACCTGGGTGTTATCATCGACAACGAGATGAAATTCCATGAACACTGTGCCAGCATAGCAGCGAAGGCTGGAGGAGTTGCTCACAATTTCTTGAAATCGACCAGGTGTCGCTCGCCTGACTTTATGACTCATATACTGAAATCTCACATTCGCCCCATTCTCGAGTACGCGTCACCGATCTGGAACAGTGGCTATGTACAGGATCTCAAAAGATTAGAGTCTGTTCAAAGGCTCTGGACTCGCAATGTGATTGGGCTCCGCAATATGGAATATGGTGATCGCCTAAAGGAACTTGACCTATTCTCTGTGAAGGGACGCCTCCTTCGAGCCGATATTATCAAATGCTGGAAGATTTTTCACGGCCACAGTAAGATATCCCCGGAGATCCTCTGGGATCTGGAGGCCGACAACAGAACGCGCGGGCATAGTAGAAAGATAAAAACGTGTCGGAGTCTTATAGATGCAAGGTCACGGTTTTTCACCCACAGAGTCGTGCGCGATTGGAATGCCCTCCCAGATTGGCTGGTGAACGAGGAGTCCCTGGTGCAGTTTAAAAAGGGACTGAAAGCCGCACTGGGCAGTAGATTGTACGAACACACAGGATAAGAGAAGGCAAACGATCCACATCTCATCCTTCATCCCCCCCCCCCAGGTAAGCGCCCCACCCTTCCCAAGTTGGGGCGGGGTTATACGCGCCTGGGCTACCTATCATATTCCGCCCTTACCCCCTAGGTAGCTGCTGCCCGCCCTTCTCGAGCTGGACCGGGTGGACTAACCTAGGTTACCTATCCTGACCTTTCCTTCCGAGAACGTATCACATTTCGGTACCCTCTTTTCTCATTTACATAATTGATCATCTTGTCTAGGATTCTGGCACTTAAAACACGCACCAGTTTTCTTTTTTCAGTGTTATACCAAATGCAGACGCACCATTCCAATTCCTTGCCTGAGGTCCAGCCATCTGCCCACCCAAGGAATTGGCGCGTCTCTGCACGCAATAGGTTTCCACTCCTTCCTTTACGAGCCAAGGTTGTGGAAACCTAACAGGTGAGTTTAACAGGTGAGTTTTGACAGATCTCCACCCCTGAGCAAAGGTCGTGCGAGATGTGGTTCAGAAGATATTTTCATCAGGAAGATTTTATATTTTAGTGCCTAATATGAAACGTCGGAAGGTTAAATTAATCAGATTACGAAATATTTCGTAACGATGTTTTTCGCTTTGTTTTGTTTATTTTTTTAAATAATATTCGGTGATTTGGAGGCGAACTCGGAAATTCGCCAATATTTGACGTTTTATCGCCTATCGCCAAACGCCGTGCTTCTATCGCCAATGACTTCCAAAATTCGCCAAATTGGCGACATATCGCCAAGTCTGGCAACCCTGACTGTGAGGCGATGCTATCGCTTCCGGATCATGAAGCTAACTTGCAGGCTTGCAGCAAAACATAAGGTTGACATTTTGACTGTTGACCAATCATGGTCCGCCAGGCAAAGTCACCTGTGACGTATCATCTTTTAGATTCATTTGAATTGCGCGAAATTTTCTATTTCACGTAAAAATTGGTCTCTTTTCAATTGATTGAAGAAGAAAGCTCAATCAAAATTATAAATAAGTATTAACTGAAACTCGAGTGGTGTCAGCAATATTGTATCGACTGGATCAGTGGCACATTGCAATAAAAACAGCTAAATAGCATTTTCAATCTCAGCAGCCTTAGCGGCACATCGATGGCGCACCAGTTACAAAACAGATGCAAAGTGGCTGCTTGTAGGTAGTGGTCCGTGGGCGAATGTGATAAATACCGTGGTGATAATTCCTTTAGATTAATTTGTCCACTTAGGTTCAATATAGGGTTAAAAGATTTTAAAAAGCACGATATTTTTTCAATAATTGTCTTCATCATCGTTTGCACTGGGCGTCTGTGCAGATTTATTGCCGTGCTATCAAATATTGAATAGGTACTTACATTAGGTTTACAGGACTAGTCATATTTAATCCAAGGTATATTAATGATAATAAAAAATCGTTTAGCGGACTGACTGGGTCAGTCTGCTGTTGATTTATTTTCATAGGTTTACAAGCTTTGCATTTTGCTGACCAGGCATGCATGATTCAATCACGGCTTGATGGGCACACCACTAATATCACTATTTGTTCTGGTTTCAGTTCGTCAAATTTACCATGTCAAGCAAGAGCTCTGGTGATTTTCCAAAAGACCTAGCAGTCAAGCTAGGTGAAATGGACAAGGCCCTCAAGAATTTGGAAAAATCACTTGATCCCTTCCTTTCTACTCCTCTAGAAGAATCATATCAGTCAGTATGTGTCCAAACAGTTCAAGATTCTTCTACCTGTGTTGTGGTTGCCTTATATTGATATAGCTCGTGCCAATTTCTACTGTAGCTTGGTATCAGTCTACACTGTAACCAAACCAAAAGTTTCTAACCTTTTTTTTTGTAAATTTTGCCATTGTATCAGTTAAAGCTATTGTTGTTTTATTAATTTTTTTTTTGATTAAGCAATATTTTATATCCATTGTGTTATATGTCCATCAGGTGCATAATATGCATTTGCTTTGATGTCAGTTATTTTTGTGTGAAATACTCTCTCCATGCTTTGCAGATGACACCACTTCAACGTGCCAAGTATGATCTGGTGTCAGCTTATGCCATGAACTCATTGTTTTGGAGTGAGTACCCACTGCAAAAAAAAAACATCACCACTAGTAACTGTTTACTGAGGGCAATTTCTCTCTCTTTATAGTTGGTGATTACCAATCAGGATACCTATGCTTTAATAATTATTATGTTTTGGTAGAGGAAGGTAGTGGCTACTTAATGTATTCATCTTTTTATATTACAATTCACCGTATTCTATGTCCACTGAGAAAGCTGGCAAGGACTGAATGCATGTCAGAAAGCGATGTGAATGTTACCTGTCAGTCTCTGCCTACCTGTCCATCATCAGCAAACATTTCAACAGTGTCAGTGCAGTGCTTTGGTCACTCACTGTTTATGTATCCATTCTTTTAAAAGGTTTCAGGTTTACCTATTTTTGTCAAAAGTGAAAGTTTCTGCCATTTCACTTGGAATCTTTAATGTAGAATATTCAACAGGCATTTACTTCATACCAACTGATATTTACTTCTACTTCAGTCAACAACAGAAATTAGCCAAGCTGATTTCCACCTTGCTCTTCAGGTCTGTGCGCTTGCCCACATCGGGTGCTGAATTCATGTCGACGCCGCTAGTTCCATTTATTTGTCAAACAGTCTCATCATTTGGTATCCACGCTGCGCTGTGGCGGTGTTCGCGGTCCCCTGCTGACCGTTCGCCGCGCGCTGACCGTGTCAGTGTGTTTGGTTCCAGTTTATCTCCGCACCCGCGGCGAGGACACCCAGGAGCACGGCATCAAGACGGAGCTGGAGCGTCTCAAGACCACCATGCTGCGCGTCAAGGAGATAGAGGACAAGGCCAAGGCGATGCGCGTGGACCGGCCCGCCGCCCACCGCATGGTCTCCAAGAGCCTGTGGCAGGCCAAGGAGAGGGCGCCCAAGGGCACGCCGGGTGAGTACCGAGCGGCGCGAGGCAGTTGATCTTTTCCACCAGTGCTGAGTGCGAGGATGGGCGACGGCCGACGAGAGTGCGATAATGTGAGACCGAATAAGTCGGTTCAATGAGTTCGTTTTACACGTTTGTACTACATAAATTGCACCATTTCCTTAAAGTTGTGTGCACTGCAGTAAGCACGACCTGTATTTTTCTCGGTGTTCTTGATTTTTTTTTTTGCATATTCCTTCTACCCACGCCCCGACCGAAAGCACTAATCACTAATTAGAGATATAAAAAACACACATTGACGTGTTGTCTGTAGCTAATCAGAGGGCCTGTTTTTAATTTACAGACGAAGGCAAGCGTTCAGCTGACGCATCAGCGGATCCCGCCGTGAAGCGGAAAAAGAAGACGTGAGTTAAAACCTAACGTGCTTTAACTGCCATGTGGATTCATCGTATTACCGTATTACGTGCGTCGTCATCATCCATTGTCGTATGCAATAAACCTTACAAACCACACGAGTATCATTTTATACAAACAAAACGATAATTCATCACAAGCATTCCGCACTACATGGAACCTCGGTATGTATGTAGTTGTACAAGAAAGAGGCAACGCACACACCAAACTCGTACATGAACACCGTGTCAAAGAAAACATGGCCATTAATGTCCGGGAGGTCTGTTGCGTCACTTCCCTGCCTTCATGGCGGCCATCGCGCTTTCGTTAGCGATCATCTGGTGTTCCTGGAAACGCTGTGATATCCGGTTGCTGGCCTTGAGGAATTTCTCCAGGCAGGAGATGGCGCACTTTTCCTGTGAAAAGAGTAGAAGGACCGAACGGGTCAATACTCGATGGTAATGACATCAGTTCAGCCATAGTGTTATTTATTACACTATGGTTCAGTGTAGAAAATGCTGCACATTTTATCACAGTGGAGCCATGATGTACCTACAGCGCGTTTGCTTCTCCAACTACCACTGCTGATAGGTAATTGTATCATTCATCCAACTTATCAAATATGAATGCTATATTCCAGGCCGTTTGGCGCCAGGGTCGTTCATAAATTCGGCTGAATTATTTCTAGTAATTTAATCGCCCTAGATATCATAATGATGGCGTACAAGGTAACGTTTAATCCATTCGAAGTCGTAAACTTTAAGGAATTGGGCGGCGCGAGAAGACGACCGTAGGCACGAAAAGACGACCATGGTCCTCAACAACTCATAGGTGGTATAGCGTGTCATGGCTGACCGCAGCCCGGATGTATGGACTGCTAATGGGCTCACAAAATATCACAAATTTGGTAAATATGACACGCTGCTAATGAACCATACAAATTAGTCAGTCGGAGGTCGTCACAAAAATTATTTCATTACCTCTTTGCCACGGACGTCCCTAGAAGTGAAGTCCCAGATACAGTCTGTAAAACACATCTCAGAGATCTTGTTGAAATGCATGAAGAAATCTCTGATCTGAAAACAACAAACCTTGGTCAGGTGCCATAAATTGCCCACCATACCTACCATAATCTAGCAAGGTTTTATAATGGAAGGAAAGGCAATCAACAAATAAATATGGTTGTGCAATATTTATTCCCTGTTGGTTCCATTTAGTGAAGCCACTGCCGACCTTGGTAAGCTGCTCTGCCTCTTCCTGTGGACTGGCTGCAGCACCAGCAGACGGGGCTCCTCCAAGTAGTCCTGCCATTCTTATTTGGAACAGCAGTCGATTGCCTGGAATATAAACACATAGATTTGAGTTCAAGAAAATAAATACAGTGTTACTCCACATTAATTAGTGAGCAAGTCCTGAACCTGCTGGCCCCTTAGTTGTACTATGTGCCACTGCTGCTGGGGGGATGGGGAACCTAAGAAATGTGGCAGCACTTCTCACCAAGGCCAGCAGAGGTGTAGGCTGTAGGAATGCTTTGAGAAATAAAGTGGGCATTTTTCCGTGTAATCTGTATTACCCTTCTCTGGTAACCTTCCCTCAGAACTCTTAGAGGAGCCAACAAGGATCCTTTTCCAAGTATTATAGCGGGGGTTAAGCAGGGTAATTCCTTATTCCGGCTGCGCAAAGGCACTATGGGGGAATACCCTATTGCATCATTAAGGGTGCGTTTCACGCGACCTTTACACCACCTGGCGAGGATCTTGCCGACATAGAGATACGTTTCTAGACCAGTAGATGGCCCTAGCGCTGAACGCCGGTTTGTTGTCATAGGACAAGTATCACATTTCCCCTGTCCATCCATCTGTTAGCGCAGAGGGGTTCGACTGCCGGACCGCCCCTCCCCATCCGCGCCCCGCGAGTTCGGGGAGGAGTGGCACGGGTCCGCCGCGCCGATCAGGCAGGGCGGAAAGGACCAGATGTCAAGCACTCAGTCGACATTGGACCGAACCCGCGCCGACACACACGGATAGGGAAAGACCGGAATAATGAAAAGGCTAACAGAATCAGAATGAGGTACAGGAAAGCAGCTTCAGTCACATTCATAGTGTTAGCTTCATTAGTCCTCGGTTGGGGAGGTGGGGCGTTTTTGTCAAACTTGCAAGTTTTTTTGCCAGTATAAGCGCCGGTTTTATATAATAACGGGTGGTCAGTATGAAACTGGACAAAGTTTGAATTGTAACTGTGTCGAAAGTTTTCATGCGAAAACAACGAAAATCGCGTTACCGTGCCATTATTTTGTTGTGATCACGCTCGCCCTAATGGATGTACGACACTGGACCTCTGTCAGCCTCCAAGCGCACGCGCGCTGGCAGCCCCGTTATTGTCTTTCGCGGCACCTCCGGGTCGATTTGACGGATCGCCTGGTGGATTCTCCGCTTCAATTATGCGTCTCAGCTGACCTGTCACCTTCCCTTATACACTTTCTGTTTGATGATCCCCACAGATCCTCAATGGGCTAAATCTGAGGGGTACATGGCGGGTTCATGTCACGTGCTATTTCGGGCACCCCAGCCTCCTCAAGAAGTTTCGTGCTCTAGCGCGCGTACTGTGACTGTTGCAGGGTCGGAACCTAACAGAGCATCATGCTCTGTGTTCTGAGACTCAAGAAGTGGTAACAATCGCCATTCAAACACTTTTCATAGCACAGTTCGCCCTTTTCATTGCCTGTGCTCGGCAAGTAACTGGACGCGTGAGCCCCTCGGACTCATGGCAAGCCAGACGGGCATCTCGGGTGGATGCTTGCTCTCAGGTCGAAAGCGAAGGTGCGATCCACATGTGGAATAGTGTCTCCACCAGCTGAGGTGTAAAATTCGACAATGGAAGGCGTTTGACTGCCACTGCAGCCTGCAGGTGAAATAAGATTCATCGTCCATATGCATGCACCTCCATGTTTTTACTACCCTGCATTGGACCCTGTGACAGACGGCGCAGGCGGGTGTTCTGCGTACGAAATTATGCCCCCGTCACCTTTTTCCTATTTTTGTACCTGATTCCTGCTTGTTGATGCACATTAATTGTTCATTTATTTGGAAGATTCCAAAATTTCTTCCCAGAGATCAAAAGCAGAGCCCCAACTGTTCGGTAACGGCACCGGTTTGTTTCTTCCGGTGCTGAATGCGCCTTTTCTTGGTGGTCTTGCCGTTCCCACCATGCAAAACATCTGCACTTCCTCAGAATTTATCGATGATCACATATTCTTAAGATCTGGTTACACCCTATGACGTAATGTGACGCATAATGATAGCATGTTTGTAATTTGTGTTATTTTCACAAACTTGCGCGAACAGGTCCCGGAACGCTTGCTGACTTACCGGCACAATGTTTTCTACTAGTTAATAGCAGAAAGTTGAAATCTGAGCTGGTAATAAAGAATAAATGGAAGTATTCACCTGCCAAAAATAATAAAAATCTGTCCATAATTGGAGATGCTATGCTTAATCAAACTTTGTCCAGTTTCATACTGACCACCCGTTATATAAAACCGGCTTTTTATTATTATATTATATAAGTTTTATATAATATAAAACTTGGCATAGCTTATCATCCATCAATTTTTCATCGTGTGTGAAATTGTGGAACCCAGGGCCGGCGCGGAATCTCAGAGCACCGGCCCGGCGCGGGTTAATTTTCCCAAGGTAAACAACGAACGCCGTTTGCGTTTGCGTTTTGCAAATCCGTCCAATAGTTTCGGAGATAGGGGGGGGGGGGGCAAAAATAGCCCCACCAGTGTGTATCTTAAGGTTATGTGATCCGAGGTCAACCTTTGACCTTGACCTTTCGAAGTCAGCACATATATGCTACGAGACGAATTTTTTTTCTACACCGCCACCCATGAACAGGTGACCAGGAGTGCCCCCTCCCTCTATCCCAGCGACACACAGAACCTTACGTTAACACCAGAAAACTTAATATGACAAGTCGCGGCACTCCCTGCTAAGAGTAAGGAAAAAAAAAAACAAAAGAAGGCGAATATCAGAGGAGTAAGCATGCTGTTAATAGATGGTATAAAAGAAGCAAAGTAGTCACAACTGCAAACAGTTAGTGACTGCCCTCCTCATCCCTGAAACGCCCACTGATGCTCACTCACACAGGGGAAAGTTAGTGGGAGGAAGACAACTGAGGGGGATACAGTCATACATACATAGTGGATTGTTGTAGGTAACATCTCTGGTCAAATTCAGGCAGGGTCATTTACTGAGCCTCTGTAGGGCCGTCCAACTAAGCAAGGCTTGTTGTCAAATTACGAGAGGACTTCGATGCTGCTAATTGCTCTTATGCAGTTTTTGCCTAGCTTTATTACTTCAAAAGTGATACGTGAAAAACTATCTCTAGAGACGCTATTTTGACTGAAATGAAATCAAGTATACATCATTTTGTTGCTAATTCGTTGAAAAACACGGTCATGAGAGTTTCATGTCACTATCTTTCATAGATTCGCCAATATTGGCTAAGTAATTTGGATAATTGCAGCTTTCCCCGAAATTTGACCTTTGATCTGTCATAACTGGGTCAACTATTGAATTAGGGTAAAAACCAATCGCGAGTAGGTACTCGTTGAGAGCAATCGACTGCTCTTTGTTGCGAACGACGCTAGTTTCGAAACGCTGGGGGAGGGGGGTCGCAACTCGCATTGACCCCTCCCCCTGCCACGCCGCGTTAGGAAAAATACCCTGCCAGGGCGAGGGTTTTGACAAACAGTCGAACTGATAATAGCCGTTTTCACGACGGCCATCTGGTACGCATTTGGTGCAAATTAGGTGCAGATTTGGTGCAGATTTGGTCAAATGAGGCTCATTGTGTTTCTTAAAATTGTGCTTCATTGTCTTTCTATCAGTTTGGGCTGCACATATGCTTATGTTTCATTTTTCTAATTTTCAAACATTATTTTCAATTAAAACACTGAAATAGTCATGATATGAAGATATTTATTGTAAAAGAGATTTGGTGCAGATTTGGTCAAATTAGGTGCATTCGTTAGATAGCCCGTCGTGAAAACGGCTATTTGGTCTCACGTCACTTAGAGTCTATGTCTCCATGGAATTTGTAGGTATTGCTGGTTATGTTCATTATTTATGTTCCGTACCGACTGCCCAGGTCAGGTCAAATACCCACCTATTGTCAAAATATACCTGTTCGCTGTTCGTAATGCCACTCACACAAAACTTGTGACATCTTTCAAAGTTGTCAGTTTCTCACAAGCTTTTCCCGGCGTACTCCCGATCAAGAGTGAGAGGCGCGCGATAGGAGACGCCTGGCTGGGTGCCGCTCATGGATAGATCGTGGGATGAGTCTCCGACCCGTCTGGTCACGGCGAAACTTAGCAGGGAGGGTTCAGGGCACCTCGACGGCGGCCGAACGCCAGCGGAGCGCCGTAACTAATGGGTGCGACACTGTCAACAAACGCCGCTGAGTGACGAGCCGAGGGGACCGTCGAAACGCGCGGGCCATACAGCCAGAGACATCTCTCGGCGATTTTATGAACTACCTGTGCAATGACTTTCAAATGAATAGAACTGCATAGTGATGCATGCAATGATGATTCACTCTACGGGATTGTGTAGAGAATCGATGTCTTTATGATTCCTAGCAGCCACATTTTTGAAATTGTTGCCATGGCTTTCATGCAATGCACCGCAAGATGAAAATTGTATCATGCAAAACATAGTACAAAATTTGAAAAAAGGCTTGCTAGGAAGTGTTTTCCTTGACTTCGTCAGTTCGAAGCTGCAAACATCACAGCCGTAGGACAATCCGTTATTGAGTTCTATTCGTTTGAAATTTTGATTTTTCAATATGTTTGTCTCAATTGCTCAGTATATGTGGATTGCAGAACAACGGTAACCACTCTGTGATGACGAGGTTAACGTCCTTCATAACATATCCAAAAACGAAGGCAATCGAAGCAACGATGCTCTAGATATTCACGAAAAACGTTTCTCATAGCGTTACGCGTGAAACGCACCCTTAAAAACCAGCTTGCCACCAGGGCACTACAGCCCTGCCAGATGGGTGCGCGGCATAGTGGTTGGGGTACCTGCTTCATGATATAACGGTCTCAGGTCGGCAACCAGCTGGCTGCTGAAATTTCTGACCAATTGTAGGTTTCTAGGCTGTAGGTTATAGATTGTAGGATGTAGGTTGTGGTTTAGGTTGGGTCAAGTTTGGTTTGGTCAGAAAGAAGTATCTCCGCGTATGGCGCCTGCCGCCTCTCCTTGATTGTGGGAGCAAAACACGTGATTGAGCAGAATGTGGAAAATACAATACTCACCACTCACCTATACCAAACCTACACACTATGCACTTTCAATACCAAGCTATGATAATATAATATACCCAGCCCTAATGATAATTTTGGTGATTTGCGACCGACTAGTGCTTTCAGAACCTTACGAACGCGTTGGCCACGGTGTGGAGGTTCCACCCTGTTCTAAAAGCATGTTAGCTAGAGTAATTCTGTATGAGCAGCGATACACCGTTCGTGCATTGGTTGTCACAAGGTTGTCAGCAGAAGTGCTTTCGCTTGTGTCGGTAATAGAACAAAATAAAATTGTCGCGCACTCGTCAGAAATGTTTTATATAAGGCTACCAAATTTAAATATGGTTTCATTCAGGCCCATGTCGTCCCCTATCTCCGTGTGTGTCCACTAACACGAATGACGTCACGCATGTGGGCGGAGCTATGGGCGGAGCCTAACGCACGCGGCAGTCCAAGCCGCCATATTTGAATTTATATTTTAATAGAATCTTGCCGATATTTTGGGTGAGGTCAATTTATATGGATAGCTTGGTGACAGTTAAGCTTTACGAATAATAATTTTTTATGGATGTGAGTATATTCAGCTTGGAATTGCAATTAAAGTTCCGCACCGCATAGATTCGAACTCGGGACCTTTGGAATACTGCGCGGGCACGCTAACCACTACACTACCGCGACCGCGCGGCGGCCGGCGGCAGGGAGGCTGCGGAGACATGGGGGACATTTTACGCTTTTGTGAAAAAAGCAAAAGATTTAGCGAAAAACACGTAAAAGATAACTTGCAGAAAATTGTCTGCTCTTTCAGATAAGATACTTAGGTTTGATATATCTTGTGCAGACTTCATTCTACAGTGCTTCGAAAATCGCTCATTTACATGGGGATTGAACGGGGCTTCGAGACTTGACTCCAAATGACGTCACGAGCTGACGTCACGAAAAGGTAGAATCGCCGGACGACCCTACCTGGTATATAGGGCCTTGGTTTCATTTTTTTTGTAATGTTTTTCAAGTTCACGAACCGCGCGCAGAGAGGGAGTCAAGGTCTTGAGCCAAGAGTCAAGGAAGGGAGGCTGTTTTCGATGTAAGATTTGATACTTGATAGTTTGTTTTTGGCCCACAATTTTGAGAAATGATTGTGTTCTTTTACAATAAACTATAAACTTAATTACCTTTATTAGAACAAGTTTGTTTTAAACTGCACAGTAGTGCATTACAAGTAGGGTAAGGTGCCTAATTAGCGACCCCTTTAATTTGAACCGTCATTGCTCGCGCTCTGTGGGTGCCAATGTATTACTGGCTTGATTTTCGGAGAGACCGTTCATTTTTCTATTAAAACATAGTCATTTTCTGCCCCAATATTCTCTAACTTATTTGTAGTGAGCATTTTGGCAAACCATTGCAAAAAACGCTAATAGCAGTTGGTGACATACCAGGGAAATAAGCTAAAATTAGAGCGCTCTATTTATTGCTCCTGCCCCATGTTGAAGAGATACCCCTAAAAGCGTGATCTTTTATCGGCCCTTACGCAGCAAGGCAGTAATTCTCAGACCGGTGGATGGTATCAATAGAAAGACAATGCGTCAAAGATTAACATGAATTAATTAAAATAACATTAAAATGTTAATTAAGCGTGGAAATTAGTCCCAAACATAAGCTAATTATTGCTCCTACCTCGGCGACGGCGCTCCCCGCAGTCGGCGGAGAAGCTAAAATAAAAGGCACCATCCTCCTCCGTAAGTCAATTTTAGAGCGGCCGAGTGGGCCGATGCGGGGTCACCAAACTGAGGTGAGACGTGGCTAGTAATTGCAAACCGCCATAGAAATCAATATCTTAAGACGTACAATATGGGATGATTACTCTGAAGCTGGAGTGAAAGCATGAGTAGATTGCAAGAAACAAAATGCATAGATTGGTTGAATTATGTACAATAGGCACAGCTCAGATGAAGCCATTTCTATGATGTTGACAATTGACATATGACATAACCCTTCCTCTCCTCACCTATGACCTAAGTGCATTGGCAGTTACCGGCATAGTTTTTGAGCACGAGTGTAATTCGCCATCGGACCGCAATACATGTTGCTAGGCTGCTGCAATTACAACGAACATACGAATACTGCCTTCATTTGTAGACGTTTGTTTTTTAGGCGGTCTTTGACGTGCAAGGGGGCATATACCTGTCGACAACTTGAGTTTCTCCGAATTTCAAAAACTCCCAGAATTTCAATTCCTTATGCACTGTTGTAGGTACAGCTATGTTCACAAGTTTTCGTTTCCTCCTGTTCTAAAAAGGATGATATTTGTCGATTTGGTGCGTCGCTGATAGGAGGGTGCGTTTAATAATTAGGCCCAACGCTTTCTGCATCCGCGAGTACCTTCAAAAGGGAACAACAGTTTCCATTTATTACACTATGGGACATGTGACAAAATGACCACTGGAACACGCATGAAACGGAGCTCATATTCCTAAAAATGTCTACAATCACTTCTTTTCTGACACTATTAGCAAATACCATCTCAAGTTAGGTGGTTGACAGACAGTCAATGGAGATCTGGGGAGACTGAGTGATGCCAATTCACCACTTAACTGATAATGAGGGCCGAGGGAAGAGAAACCTGCAACATGCACAACTGACAACTTGACAAGTAACAAAACACTACCACTATTGCGCAGTGCACAACAAATTACAGCAGCCAGCCCAAAAATGCTTTTGGTGGCTAATTGCAAAACAAGTCACTAATAAATGTCTTAGTTGCAGCTGAACACTGCACAATAATCACACTGTTCACACACTGAGCGAGATGCCACAGGTGGTTTGAATCACACTTTGGTTCAACTGCAAATCTGAAGTGTTGTCATGAGGTTCATGCCTCCATGATCACAGCACTTTGGTTGTGGTTGGCATAACACTTGTAGTCTGCAGAGTTCCACATGAACTGCAGACACCTCATCTGGTGGTCTTCATGTTGCTCAACTTCTTCAGGAGGCAAACGTCGACCACCCAGCGGAAGCATGGTCCTGCAGAAAAGAAAGGTAATGCATAAGGTACAAACATTATCTGCTGAAACAGCTCCTTCTGTTGGCTGTTATTATTTATTTATTACAGCCTACAACATGTATTAAACTTTTAACATAGGTAACATAACAACATGTATTCCATGTATATTACATTTGTTGAAGTAAAATACTGCCGGCTATTTCAAAACCAGAAAATGAAATTATATTGTGGCATAATTCGCCTGCTCAGCTATCAGTATCAAATAATAATTAATTTAATATTTGGCATATTCTATATAACACATTCATAGAATATTCTACTTCACGTCACAAGGACTCACAATCTTTCTGTTGGGTGTTTGATTGACGCATTAACTAAGTTTGTCTTAGGTTTTATTATTGCAAAAAATTCATATTGCATTATTGTATCAAAATACTGCCAGCAATAACAAAACAAGAACCTGAAATGCCAACGAGCAAGCCGCCTTTCCATAAAATGGATTACTTTGAAAGGAATTTTAGTTTCTTTTAAGGAAAAGGAGAAATGATTATCAGGTAATTATCAGAAAACCACTCAACCAGCAAGTGGCTGGGTGGTTTCACAGCAAACATCAAGCCAAAACATATACTTACATCTAACAATTGAGCCATTTGACTACTACAAGGATATGTGAGCAAAATAAGAATCAAATTATCCAATGTTGACTTCCTTGCAAAGTTTATGCCTTATTTTATGAAAATGTGTCACTAGAATATGATACTTATCATCGAATATTATTTAATTTACGATTTATTTCGATCGGAATGCACATGGAGTCCCGCGCCATTTTCGTCGACGATGAATATGATCGTGTTTCATGAAGAGATAAGGGGTTTCAATGGTCTTTCAAAGCAATAATTTGATGCAAAAATTTGTAGGAAATAATATGAAGCTGGTTCAAATGGCCATCAACCATTTAAAACACCGAATATAACTCACAACTCCCCGACGACCACGCAGCACCGCGCACGCCACACTACTGGCACAATGCCAAAACTGCTGTCACAGCGGAAATGTTCTTTTTTCTCGATTGCAATTGTGGAATTATTTATTAAACAGAAGATGATCTTTCCGAAAAACCGACTGATTTCATACACAGATGCATGGAAAATAAAAAAAATCCCGGTAAGTTTATTTGTATTGTTTTGTCGATTTTGACATGCTCCTAGTTTGCAGCCATATTTCGATATGTTCTACAGGGAGTTCAGAATTATTTCAGGACCAATCTTTTCCTCATTCATTTTCCCGTCGATCATGAAATTTTTAGAGCGGAACAATTGGTTTCCAGGCGGTCCGAGCGGTTTTCGTGAGAAGGGTGCAAAAATCGGCGTCATTTTTAGAGCCTCGACACCAGCTCAACACAGGACCCTATGGGAGACGGTGAAGTAGCGGGAGCAATAAATAGAGCGCTCTAATTTTAGCTTATTTCCCTGGTGTGTCACCGACTGATAGGGAACTCTTCCCGATTAGCGACCGGGGAGGGTCGCTAATAAGTCTATGGGTTTCCCCATATTAAAAATGGCAAAAAATGCGACGCCTGAAAAGATGAAATACGATCTCAAAAAGGAAACCTATACGCAAAGTTTTCAATCACTCGAACAGGAACGTTTATCCAACACATTTACGGAAGTAAAAACTGATCACGTGATGCACCGAAAGGCGAAAAGAAGGCGGAAACCCAAATTTTGCGGGCTATCTCGTATGATATTCGAGGTCCGTGTTGAATTCGGCACCCCTGCAGTCGGTGACGACATTTGGCATCCCCTGCCACACATTGCAAGCTTCAGCAACACCTCATTTTCATTTCTCTCTTTTCCCCTTTCTTTCCCTTCTTGAGCTATTTGCGACCATGTCAGGCGCAAATAGGAAATATGAGTTGCGACACATTTTTAACCGCCATGCTGTGCACAGTTGAGCGATTCACTATGGGAAAACGGCAATCAATTGAAGAAGGAATGTCGATTCAGAATAAAAAAGGTGCATCATCCTAATGTGCATCGCTTTTCATCAGAGAGGGCCCAAACACACACATTTTGGATAAGAAACTCGTCATTTTTATTAAAACTCACCTGAAACGTCCCACCAGAAACATCGACGACCGGAAAATAATTTAATTTGATAACCAAAGTATGGCTGACCTTTTGACGATATTTTTACCCCGTTTTCTCCTGCCAGTTTTTCTGTAGGGAGGTAGGTCGCAAATCGGAAAGGGTCGCTAATTAGGCACCTTACCCTAGTGATTAAACTGCACAGTAGTGATTAGGAATGAAAATCCAACGATTTTGGAATTGAGTTTTTTGTGGCATGCTCGGTGCTCCCCTGCAGCGCCCAAGACTGCCTTTTTGAATCTGTAACTGATATACCTATGATGCTAAGGAAAAGAAAGAATAGTGGGCATTTGGCCATAGGGACTGATGATGGTATATGTGAAGAAGTCCAAGTGGTAGGTTGTAGGTTGGTAGGTTGTTTAGTAGGTTAGTAGGTAGGTAAGGTTAGGTGAAGTAAGATTATGTTTTTTATATACCTGGACTTCATCTTCACATTCCCTGAATACTGTTGGGACTCATGTCATGAGCTGTGACCAAGCTGAAACAGCCCTGATGCTAGTTTTATCAACAGAACAATTGTGAGCTACCATTGTACTTTGCCTTAAGTCACCCTGAATTTTGGCAGACATTTGAAGAATGACTGCTCATATGAAAAATTATGTAAGCTCTATACTATCCTGAAATGATTTACCTAGCTATGCATACCTATTTCTGATATGCTGTGGCAGCTGTAATTCCTCAGCATGGCTAGCTAAAATTTTGAGACTCCAAGAAATAAATACCCTCTGGCTGTGAATATTCTAAATTACTGGCAATTTTAGTGCCTAGCACTTGTGCTGTTCATTGTTCAATTGCCCTTTTTCACTGAGTTCTTTCTAAGTAACTAGAGCTTGATTCTGGTGGGTCAGGTTCAAGACCTCCCTATCTAGTTGAAGCCAGATAGTCCTAATAGTCTGAACTAAGGTATGCTGTTTACTGTTGTGTTCACTTTTGTTTTTACATTTATTTTCCTTTTCAGACTAGTGACTACAAGTATGCTTGCTAAAAAATCATGAAGAAGTTCAAGTTCAAGCCTGTTAAACTGAAACCAGACAGCCATGCTAATGCCTCTGGGCAAAAGACACTGTCATTCAACAGGTATGCCTGAAACTTTCCTGACCTTATAAGTTCTTCCATGATGCCAAAATATCAAAATCAGCCAGCCCCTTGGGAGCTAAAGCTGTCAACAGTTGGTTGTAATCATGGGAGAGAACACATTTACTAGAGCCTACAATTTCAGAATATGTTTAATGAACCTTGACCCCATCAACAAATGCTATTACCACCAAGCAATCCTTTCTCCCAGCTGCTTATTGGGGAAGTAGATTATGATGACCACAATATAGCTGTGATATACCCTCACACTCTATGTGAATGGCATCTTTATTTTTAGCGCCTACCTTAAGTTAATCCATGAATGAAACTGATTAATGAAGGCTGCTCTGGAGTCTGAACTGAGACTCTGATATAGGATTTAAGTCGTAATACCTGAGCAACTAAAGCCTAAGCTCTCAAAACTTGGGAGTTGGACTAACTGGCAATTTGGTGTTGTTGTGTCCTCTGCAATTAGCTCTGCTCAGCATGGTTTCTGCCCTGGAAAGCCTCCCATCCTAGCAGATATAAAACTCATTGATAAAACAGTGTTTTTTTGTGAACCCTGATTACACTGTGCTATACTTTCAGTGGAAATGCTCCAGCTTTGCTGACAACCGACGCCAGGCGCTCATTGCCAGCAGCGTCCTCAGCTCTGGCTAATGGCGCGGCCAAACGGACCTCACTGCCATTCACCGCTCCCGCTCAGCTCTCCGGCGCGATCAGACAGCCCGCACCCCCACCGGCACCTCCTGCCGCGTCCGGCGGCCCGGCCAGGAAGTCATCTGCTGCTGCCAGGCCAGCAGCGTCCCCGCCCAGGCGGCCCTCCCTGCCTCAGGCCGTGGCGGCGCCCGTCCCCGCTCCACCGCGACCTCCGGCGGGTGGAGCGGGTGATGATGAAGACTTGGATGATTTTGACCTCAACAGCAGCTTTGGTGAGTGATCTAAAGAGGCAAACCACATGTTTTCCACACATATTTCTCGATTTTCGATGTTTCATAGCGTATGAAAATGGCTATTAAGAAATGTAGACACTGGTGTTTACTTTCATCCCAATGATTTCTTTCAGCAATGTTTGTGATAACTTATAAACATCGCAATCCCCGAGCAATGATCCCGTTCCTTGCCGTTGCCAGTCTCGGCCGAGCCGACTCGCAGCGTTAGCCGGCGGCGTCGGCGTCGAACGGGAGTGCTGCCCAGCGACGGTGAGGACAGCGGAGACGACTGTATGCTGATCGGCAGCCAGGAGTTCACGGCAGCCGTCATGGCCGACAAACAGCCCGTGCAGCCGCCGGCGAAGGTAGGGGAGCTCCAGGTTCAGCGCTGATCCTTGCATAGGAACAGGGTGGGACTGTGAGTGTTTGCTTTTTGCCACAGCTGATTCCGTGTTTTTTTTTTTTTACTTCTAGGACCTTATCTTAGGCCCTCATGATCAGCTTAATGTCGATTCAGATGTTACCATTCCCCTCTCCATCTCAGTGGTTTTTAAATGTTTAGACACTTTTGCGGGGAAATGGTGAAGGTATCCTGACATATTTTGTTTTGTTTATGGGAAAGTAGACTGAACCGCCGTGACAGCGATCCCTCTCAATATTGGTCTCTTTCACGACAGCCACAAACATCGCCCGAGACCGGGCCCGGGGCGCAGACCGAAACCGTGGCGCAGCCACCAGAGGACATCATTGTGCCGTCACTGACGCCGCCACCAGTGGGGCTGCTGTCGGGCCTGGCCGCCGAGGACCCTCCGCCGCCGCCCCCGCCCCCGCCCCCGCTCGCGCCCGCCGAGGAGCCGCTGCCGCCCCCGCCACCTGACATGGACGTCGACGAAGCATTAGAGTGGATGTCTTCACCTGAGCCGGCTAGGGACACAGGTGGGCGTGTGGACGTGGGAGAGGGCCGTTAGCTGTGATGTTATGCAGTATATTCTTTTGAGCTGCTCAGAATAGCCTCTCACATAATCATTGTCAGTCTCAATTATGATTTGCTTATCCGCCTTATGGTCATCAGCAGAGCAGCCCCTTATTTGCCTTTTGTAGTCTGGCTTTCGCCACGACCACACCCCTGACAGCTGTTCTCCCGCCCCGTTCGTTTCCCAAACAGCCGGGTGGCAGCACCCCAGTCCTCCTACGCCACAGCTGGAACCAGAAGACGATGACGTGATCGGCTCCTCGCAGCCCGCCGCCGAGCCGCTGAATACCCCTGGCCCTGGCCCTGGTGGTGTCTGCACCGCGCCGGCTGCCGCCCGCCCGCCGGTCCGCGATTCGCCGGTGAGAGGAAGGGAGAGAACGAGGCTTATACTATGCAGTATGCACTTTCAGTCCGTTTCCTAATCTTGTGAGCCACATCTTAGCTTATTCAGGGCTTTGAATTTCCAAATCCTATTTTCGAATATTTTTAGATATTCGGTATGATAGGTTTCTGTGGCAATATCTGCACCACTGCACGTCCAGTCTCACCTGCATATATTGCGCTTTCTTTCAGAATATTCTGTCAGCTCAGGGACATTTAACTTTTCAGGCGTTTCCCCTTTCTAGGTGCTTTAGATTATGTTATTATTGGTTTCTATGCATATTTACTGCCGTCCTTTGTACGGCAGATTAAGTGTCAGCAATTACATCTTCCGGTCCTTTCCTGCAGGCCGCGGAGCCGTCGTCGGCCGGACTCAGCCCTCCGCCGGCCCCGGAGACGCCGTCATCAGTCAGTCCGCAGGCTATGAAGCTGGCGGTCCGGCTGGCCGACATGCTGGAGGCGCTGCCGGCCGTCTCGTTGGACGGTGTGCCGGGACTGGACAGCGCCAAATGCCGGCGGCTGCTGGTGGCTTACCGGCGACTGACGGGCAGGCCCGCCGCGCCTGCCGCCGATCCTTCCCCGGCCACATCCAGTCCCGGTCAGCCCCCAGCGGCCAAGGCGACATTCAATACCGGCGTGTCAGCGACCAAGGGGATATTCGGCTCCGTGCCTTCGCATGGTAGCTCGACGTTTAGCCCCGCATACTTGGCTCCTAGTGCCACATTCAGCCCCGCTTTCTCGGCTCCGAATGGAGTCTCTAGTCCTGCCTACTCGGCATCGAGCGGAGTCGCTAGTCCTGCCTACTCAGCGCCTAACGGGGTCGCTAGTCCTGCCTACTCGGCCTCCAGCTCGACGTTTTGTCCCGTCGCCCCAGCTCCGAGCACAATCTTCAGCCCTGCCACAACATCAACTCCCTCTACGTCATATACTCCCGCCTCCACATATTCCAATGGAACATTCAGTCCGGCTGCCCCCCGTCCCCTGGGGGTCCTGTCCCCGCTGGTTGGAGGCTCCCCCAGCGCGGCAGCGGCTGCCTTCGCCACGCCCCAGCCGGTGGGGGGAGCCGCGGAGCCTGCCAGCTATGGCACCGCTAAAAAGGACGACAGCGGCTCTGCCGAGTTCAAGAAGACCTACCCGTTTAGCGAGCAGATGACCAAGGTTCGTACTTACTCTTATATCTTCTCACTTCTCACAGTGCATGTTTCGTGACAACCGAATGTCGTATTGGTAACCACTAAAAGTCCTGTGCTAGAAGCTCAATGAGAGAGTGTCTGACCCTTGAATCGACAAAGGGTGATAACATACTGACTGATTTGAGCCGCTTTGGTGACCAACGAGCTCTGGTTAGCGAGGCCTCTGGCCTAAGGAATTAACTGCGTGCTCCGTTTCTCTGTCGTGACAGTGCACGCATTTGCCCGTGTTCGCAGGTGTTCCGTGAGATGTTTGGTCTGCGCAGTTTCCGCGTCAACCAGCGGGAGGTAATCACGGCGGCCATGCTCAAATACGACACCTTCGTGTTGATGCCTACTGGTGAGCCAACTACCGCCAGGACGGTGGATGAAGGAAGAGAGGCAGGACGAGAGTAAAGGGATGGATGAAGGAGGGAGGGAGGGAGGTGCGGAAGGAGGAAAGATAGAGAGGGAGGAACGATAGATAGTGGTTAGTAGACGATGGTGGGTAAACGATGGACGTGGACGATAGAGGATTAGTATGTGGTCGGTGGACGATAGACGTTAGACAATGCACGTTGCAAATGTATTGTGGCTGACCGTTGGGTGAGGAGGTATGAGGATGGGCGTGCAGTGGGACCGACTGAAGCTAGTTTGATGGCGCAGCGCTTTGTTGTAGATTGCATAACGTTTTTCTTCATTCCTTCGTTACCTCTCCATCAACCGAGCCCCTTGACACCGGTCAGCCCACAGCCCACCCGCTACGTACGTACCTCTTATTATCTCTTACGCTCAACCACCGCCCTCCCCCTTCCACTATCGAGTGTGTATGTCTCCGCTCACCATCGGCCATCCCTCGACAGGTGGCGGTAAGAGCCTGTGTTACCAGCTACCTGCTCTCCTGGACCGGGGTGTCACCGTGGTCATATCACCGCTCAAATCGCTCATCCGAGACCAGATCAGCAAACTCAACTCGCTCGACGTGAGTGCGGCTCAGAAACGCTGAGTGCGGCTCAGAAACGCTGAGTGCGGCTCAGAAACGCTGAGTGCGGCTCAGAAACGCTGAGTGCGGCTCAGAAACGCTGAGTGTGACGCATGTGTGGCTGCGATGCTGTGTGGACTTAGATGGCTGGATTTGATGACTAGGAGCTTCCCAACGATGCACAGTCAGGATTTCTTCTTGATCTTTAATTGGTGACTCATACATTCGCATTAAATGGGCTTGGTCCTACGCACTAGATAGACTCTGTTGATACACGTCTTGAATGTAATAGTCCCAAATCAACCAAGCTTCAGTTCACTGTGTACTCACTGGTAAATTCTGCGCTCTTACTGATAAATTTCCGGAGGTATTTGCACCTCGTTTGTCCACGCCCCACGTCACCCATCCCTAGTCTGACCCTCAGCCGTCTGACTCTGGACTCACCCCCCCCCCCCTGGGTCAGATCCCCGCCACGCACCTCTCCGGTCTCAGTTCGTCCGGCTCCACGGGACACAGCGTGTACATGGAGCTGAGTCAGGCGCGGCCGGGCGTCAAGCTGCTCTACACCACGCCCGAGATGGTGACCGCCAGCGGGAGGCTGCGGGACGCGCTCAGCTCGCTGTACAAGCGCGGACTGCTCAGCAGACTGGTGGTGGACGAGGCACACTGTGTGTCCCAGTGGGGACACGACTTCAGGTGGGTGGAGGCGGAGGAGGGTTGTCTTACAGGGGTGTGTGACAGTGGGGACACGACTACCGGTGGGTGAACGGGGAGGGAAGGGGTGTCGCAGCGGGGGCACGAGTTCAGGTGGGTGACAGGTTAGGGGTGTCTAGCCAGTGTGTCTCTAGTGGGGACACGACTTCAGGTGGGTGGAAGCGGAGGGAGGGAGAGTGTCTAGCGGGGATACGTGAATGTCACAGTGGGAGGGGTGTCTATTCAGTGCTGTGTCTCCAGTGAGGCACGACTACGAGTTCAGGTGGGTGAAAGGACCAGGGGAGGCCGGGAGGGGGTGTCTCGAGTTGTCTCTTGGGGATGTATCTCAGGTATGTTTTAACCCGCGCCCGGCTGGGGGTCCTGGATTTCCACGCCCTGCTGGGGGGGGGGGGGGTGTTTGAACACCCCCCCTTGTAACTCGGCTCCTGGGCCACGTAGCGATACGCGGAAGGCGGCGTTCGAAAGAGCGTCAAAAATAATGACGAAATCACTTCGGTCAATTTTTTGGTCAGGTCAAAGGTCAGGTCACCAGAGGTCATTGAAGGCAAAATTTCGCCGATTTCCAGGTCGAATGTCGAAAATTTCCAAGAAGCCAACGCATAACTCGAGAACCAATAGAGCTACAGCGCCGCGGAAAAGCGCATTCGATAGCCCTATTAAAGCCCTTTCTGAGTAATTCTCTCAGATTTGACCTAACGTCAACGGTTTTGCCTGCAGGGGGCAAAAATTGCAAAAATAGCCGATTTTTTCGGAAACAGTTTTTCTGCAATAACTTTTGACCCAAGCCTTGTACGAGCTTACTTTTACCGGCATTGTGTTCCTCTCGTCAAGACGCATCGAATGAACTATAAGTTGACCTTGAAAGGTCAACTTGAAAATTTGACTTCAGGTCAAGGTCATGACCTGACCGGAAAGGGTCATGTTGCATATCAGTCGATCCGTATCGTCGAGCTGAACACATCTAAAGCGTTTTCATCGCTCTAGCATGCCTCTATCAAAAGTTATTTGCGAAAAACTGTTAGATACCATTCGTGACCTAAGACCTAAGATGTTCAGTGTGTCTAAGCCACTTGTAATTCGGTGTTTGGGAGTGTTTATAATGTATTTTGTCCAAAAGAGGCGCATTTCAATTTTCTCCCATTGACTTATAATGGGGAGGTCGCAAAATTGACCTGACCTTAGGTCATCGATATCAAAATTCTGAGATATACATTTTGTACATGCTATTGCTCTTAGCAATCGCTGAAAGTTTCAAAGCGATCGGTCACTCGGGCTGGGGGGATCCGTGCTATCGTAAGTTATATCGGACGTGGCTGCGAAACTTCTCTCGGTACGAAACTTCTCTTGATCGGAAGAAAATCGGAGGGATGAAAAAGAAAGAGCGGCAAATCGGAGCTACGTTGTACGTAAGTTGTTTCGCAGCGTTTAAATGCCAGTTTTACTACGATTTAAATGCCAAGCAGATCAGCTGACCTCGTAGTACCATGTCGATAAGGTCGAATTCCCCATACGTCTATAGTGTAAAAGTGACCCTTATTGCAAATAGGCTGTCAGGGACATCTCCTCCTCTGTAAATTTGGAGGGCTCATGTGTCGGCATTCCCATGTTCGTTTCGGAGTCCATCTGTTCCATTTGGAGCCCGTCAGTTGGCGTCAAGAGTTGGCGCAGCGAGCGCCCCGAAGACTGCGTCTGCGCACGAGGCTTCGCGATGGAGGAGTATTTTGACGAAATCGCCCTCGCTGCAGAAGAAATAGAGGGACTTGTTGAGAAAGAGGAGGCCGCAGTGTGCCGACGACTTTAAACTGTACGCCAACGCCAAGACCAAGGCAATCAGGGGGCGCTCAGATGATCGGGAGGTTTCAATTGATCAGGGACCCACCAGGTGACCAGGGAACCCTCTGATAACCAGGGGTCCTTCCAGTAACCAGGGACTCCTTCAATAACCAGGGGCCCCTCAGTAAACGTGGGCCACTCAGGTTACTGCAAGAGACAGGAGTCCCTTATAACCAGGGACCGGCAAGGTCTCTCAGGTCCGTTTTTGACAAAGCTGTTATTGACGTCATATACGAGCACTTTGCCACCAGCAGAGGGCCCTTTCAAGCCTTTTTAGGGCCATTTAACGTCTCTTGAGTTCCCTTTGAGGCTAAGGGCCTCTTCAGCAGCCGAGGGGTCTTTGAGGCCTTTTTGAGGGCCTCTTAACGTCAGCTGAGGACCGTTGGACGCCATCTGAGGACCGTTTGGTGCCTTCTGATGGCCAGTAGATGCCAACTGAGGGCTCTCTGACACCAGCTGAGGGCACGCTGACACCAACTGGGGGCCTCCTGACACCAGCTAAGGGCGCTTTTATATTTGACACGAGCTCAGGGCCCTTTGACGCCCTTTGAGACCTTCTGAGGTCCGTTTGACGCCAGCAGAGGACCCTTTGGGGTCATATGAGGGCCCTTCGCTGCCTTCTAAGCGGCCTTTGAGGCTTTTTGAGGGCCGCTTGACGCCACCTGAGGACCGTTGCGGTTGGACTCCAGTTACGGACCGTTTGAGGCCTTCTGATGGCCATTTTGCGCCAACTGAGGGCCCTCTGACACTAGCTGGGGGCCCTCTGACACCAGATAAGGGCCCTTTGAGGCCTTCTGAAGTCCAGTTAACGCTAGCGGAGGGCCTTTTGAGGCCAAATGAGGGCCCTTTGAGACCTTATAAGGGCTCCTTGAGACTTTTGAGGGCCGCGTGACGGCATCTGAGGACCGTTGTACTCCAGCTGACGACCGTTTGAGGCCTTCAGATGGACTTTTGGCGCCAGCTGAGGAGGGCTCACTGACACCAGCTGGGGGCCCTCTGACACAAGCTAAGGACTCTTTAAGGCCTTCGGAGGGTCGTTCGACGCGAGCTCAGGGCCCTCTGACGCAGGTTTAGGGCCCTTTGACGCCCTTTAAGGTCTTCTGAGGTAGCTTTAACGTTGGCTGAGAGCCCTTTGGACCCATCTGAGGGCCCTTTGAGGCCATCTTGTGGCCCTTCATTTGGCCATCTGAGGGCCCTTTGACACCAGATGAGGGCCATTTGACGCTAACCGAGGGCCCTTCGAGACCATCTGAGGACCCGGTGACCCCATCTGTGGGCCCTTTGAGGTCTTTTGAGGGCCATTGAAATTTCACCACAATACCCCTGGCTGCGCTACTGGGCATTTATGGACTCGTATGGGCCTGCTGGGGAACGAGATGGGCCCTCCCGGTCTTTTCAATCATTATTTCAGTTCATTTTACATGGTGTTCGGCGGTCTAAAGATTAGGGGCATCAACTCGAATGGGGGGAGGCCCGGTGCCCTCTCCTGTGTGCGGCCTTGCCGACACTACACCGCTTCCCCTCCCTCCGCCATAAACGCACCGCTGCACTGTTAGGCGCCGACAAATACGGACCGGCGCCGCAACCGGCTCCCCCGCGGCCTGCCTTGCGTTGACATAGCCCTTCCCGAACACCAGTGTAACCCCCACGCGGCCTAGGTATCGTCGCGCCCACCTGTCCGCGGCGCGGCCTCTGATGGCGTATCGGATCATTGATGGTGCGATACATGTTTTGGTCAGATTTTCGCAATTAACGCGAAAAATTGCCCAAAACACTTTTTAAATTTCAAAATTGAAAAAAGTGAATACAAAAATGACGTGAAAGTGACCGTTTTCAACGTGTAAATTTAAAACGCTCTAGCGCAGCCATTTTTGAAGAAATCGACTTCAAATTTTGCACACGTGTTCATCAACCATATTTGTTTAACATATATTTCGATTTTGTGAAAATTTTGAAAATTTCTTATATTTTTCTCTTGAGAAAGAGGTAAAGCTTCGCTACGATCGGCCTTCCGATCGACCGAGAAGATTCGTAAAGTTAGTTCGTATCTTCACCATTTGCGATACAACTTGCGTATCTACTTAGCCTACGATGTGATGGATCCCTCCAATATCTGTTCCGATTCAACTTACGTCTGATCGCAACTGCGAGGTGCCTTGCGATCACATGGATCCCCCCAGCCTCGGTGTAGCTATGACAGACATTGAAACTTTTTATGAGGTGAGGTCACTTCAAGTGACCTGGTGACCTGACCTTGAATGACCTTGGTCTGAAATTTTCACAACATGTGTAGAATTGATGTACGATAAGTTGTTTTTGAGATATCTGCGAAAAACCACAAGGGGGGTGTTCAAACACCCCCCCCCCCCCAGCAGGGCGCGGGTTAAGTGGATGGAAGGGTAGGACTCATGTCACACGTTTTCGTGGCATAAACTGAAATACCCGACACCAGCTGTAACTTTTACGGCAACATCCCTCCCACCCCGCATATAACAACTGACACCGTCCGTCTCCTCTGCAGGCCGGACTACAAGCGTCTGAGTGATCTGCGCCGTCTGTTTCCCGACACCTCTAACCCGTCTCGTTCCTGCGTGTAACAAGTCCGTCTGTTGTGTCCCGCAGGCCGGACTACAAGCGTCTGAGTGAGCTGCGCCGTCTGTTTCCCGACACTCCTGTGATGGCTCTGACGGCCACGGCCACACCGCGCGTCCGCAGTGATATCCTTCACCAGCTGGGACTCCGGCTGACCGGCGTCAAATGGTGAGAAAAAAAACGGGGAGACATGACCAGTAAATTGTGAGGCATGAGCGAGCCGAACTAGATATTGGGAAGTTAATTTTGATATTCATTAGGCATAAGTTAGCATTGTTAAATGTATTTTATTGACGTGGATCTGAGTGAGTGTTCATCGGTCTTGCTGCCATTGATATATGGGTTCTTCATTTAAAATATTGTCTAAAACATTGATTTCCTGGATTCTGGTATTTTTCGAATAGCTTAAAGATAACGCCATTAGTAACCATGAACCCTGCAAGTATTCAGGCTCATCCTCTAAGCCAGACCAATAACTAACCCATTAATTTCTCCATTGACTGACAGGTTCGTATCCAGCTTCAACCGTTCCAATTTGAGGTACGAAGTGCTGGAAAAGAAGGGTGCCAAAGTGACCACCCAGGTGGCCGAATTTATCCGAGAGCGCCACCCGGGACAGACGGGCATCGTGTACTGTCTGTCGAAGAAGGACTGCGATCGGCTGGCTGCCTCGCTGCGCCAGGAGCGGATAAAGGCGGCGGCCTACCACGCCGACCTGACCGACCCGCAGCGCGGCGAGGTGAGAGGGATGGGTGACTGGGAGGGGAGAGGTCAGGTGTGTTTTTGTGTGTGTGTGGGGGGGGGGGAAGAGATTCTCGGCGGGACACTCGGTCAGGGGTTGCGAGACCATCAGTGGGATCAATAATCCCCCATTCCCCATTTTAGGCAAGACAGTGCAGTGCAGGGGATGACTACTGTTTAATCCAAGTGGGAACCAGACAGAACTGACATTAAAAAGGGGTTTTTCGATCTGAGCCAATTATATTTTGAGCATCATGTCATTCAATATCGGTCATTGTTTGCCTGCTACCACTGGCAGCTCGTCGGTCTTTGTTGGGTGAATTCCCTGCTCCGTTTCCACCGACAATCGGTGACCATATGTGATATGCCCTGTGTGACCGTGTGCTCCCTGTGTACAGGTGCAGGACCAGTGGCTGGCCGGCAAGGTGAAGGTCATCTGTGCCACTATCGCCTTCGGCATGGGCGTCGACAAGCCGGACGTCAGGTGGGTGAGACATGCCTCGTTTACTCTGCCTCAACTCAGCGTATCATTTATGCCAAGATCAAACTTCTCACTGGGGCGGTGTCTGTCGTACACGGTGACCGGCGTCGCCATCACCGTCCACGCTCATACGATACTCGCCACTGCTTCTCACTGTCAACCGCTCGACATTTTTAGTCTACCACTCAGTACTCACCAGAAGCGTTACTGCGGCTCTCACCGTCCACTTCTCACCGTCAACTGCTCACCTCAGTCCACTGCTCATCAGTGCCACTGCTTCTCACCATTCACTGTTCACCACTCACTATCGAGTGCTCACCATCACGCTGGCCTCTGTCAGGTTCGTTCTGCACCACGCACTGCCCAAGAGTCTGGAGGGCTTTTACCAGGAGTCTGGCCGTGCCGGCCGGGACGGTCTGAAAGCCGACTGCGTGCTCTACTACAACTACAGCGACGTCATCCGCATCCGGCGACTGCTGGCCAGTGAGTGCGGAGACGGCCGGGATGTGCTGCGGTGGGAGGCTGCTGGGATTCGTCTGCTCCTGATGGCAATGATGTTGAAATTAAAACTTTCTGAATATTTTTTTCCGTGGGAAGGTAAAGCGACTAGGTTAGGCGGCCGCCTATGCAGCCGGAAAATGGCTTGTGCATACCATTGTATCTTGAAGAATACGAGCTTCTCAAGGTGTATGCGACACGCGTTTGTTTGAGCTTGATGATGTATTTACAAGATCCCTTACTTATCTCTTAACGTTCAATGCGATAACCTTAAATATGAACCTAGCTCTCAAACAAATAATCGTAGCACTCGACTCGCTCAGCGAAATGCCAATAACCATTGACTATACAACCTCACCGGCAGAGAGTCGCGAGAACGCCGAGGCGCACAAGACCCACGAGAAGAACCTGTGGGACATGGTGCGGTACGCCGAGAACCTCACCGACTGCCGGCGCGCCCTGGTGCTGCACTACTTCGGCGAGCGGTTCGACCGCGCCGCGTGCCGCGCCTCACCGGCCACCGCCTGCGACAACTGCCGGCGACAGGGCGGCGCCGGGCAGCGCCAGGACGTGACGTCACTGGCCCGGGACGTGGTGGGTGCGCTGAGCGAGATCCGCGCGCGCACCTACGGCGGCAACTTCACGCAGCAGCAGCTGGTCGACCTACTGAAGGGCAGCAGAAACAAGAAAATACTGGACAACGGTGAGTCGGTCGGTGGTCTGATCAGAACTCAGAGGTGACTCGTAGCGCAATTACTTTCTGCAGTTACTTGTCGCTGGAATGTTTAGAGGATCAAAAGCAAATTTTCCTAATTCCCTTGCCGTTTAAAGAGTGTCCAATGGTGCGTTATTGCTCTTTGGCCCCGCACTTTACGCGTTTTGACCTCTGCAGATGTACGTTTATTCAATATATCAGTTTTCGCAAGCACCATTTTTCATACACCGTACTCTTCACAGGTCGATTTCTCGACATGTGGTGCAGCCTTCATCAGCCTTGGACGGGCAGCTGTGGTGGCTGAGAAATAAATGTGTCATAGGAATTCCATAAGTTTTTTACATTGGCTTTAGATGTATTTTTGTGTTTTCCTTCGGTTAACCATTGCTGTTTGTGTTTCATTTCCATGGCTCCAATGAGCTCCATATCGGCATTGTCCAGGAACTTTATTTGCTGACCCGTGAATATTTTAGAGTTGATCGTGTTCAATTTCGTGCTTCGCCTATATATTCAGTTTGATATTTCCCTGCGACCTCTTTTTTACGGTGCACTGTGTGCTAAAGCTGGACTCACCAGTACCAAGCTGCTTTGAAGTTCCTTACCCTAACACCATCTCACCATCAGCATGCATCTGGTGTGACGCCATAAAGCCACGTCCCTCACCGCGTTTGAGTCGTACCATGGACATTTCAGAGTTTCTAACTAGTTAAAATAGACTAAAAAATAATGATTTTTTTTTGTAAAATATAAAAAGCCAAGTGAGGCATACCAAGTGAAACATCCTAAGTCTCAAGTGAAAAAGATGAAATCTTATCTTACGTGAAATTAACAAACTTCTTAAATACACATAAGTTGTATTTGATGTAACGCATGTAGACCTCTAAAAACTAGCACCGTCGTGCCGCGAAGTGCTCCAGCCATACCGGCAGTCACTAGTCCCCGTAACCAGTCCCCCGTAACCGTAACCAGTCGGCAGTCATCAGTACCCTCCGCTGACCCACCCTCCCCTGCTCCAGGCCTGGACCGAATCCCTCTGCACGGCGCTCTGAAGGACTGGGAGCGGGGCGACTGTGAGCGGCTGATGCGCCACCTCCTGCTGGAGCGGTACCTCGAGGAGGAAATGGTGGCCGGAAGGGAGGACATCGTGAACGCCTACCTGCGCCTGGGACCGCGGGCCGCCGAGCTGACCGGGCCGGCGGCTGGAGCGGACAGAAAGGTGAGGCGACAGAAGAAAGATGGAGGGAGAGGTGGTCATTTGCGGGCGTGCCCATCTTTCTGTTATTTTCGGCAGCTGACGGACAACCTGCCGCCTGTTACTTCTGCGCTGCGACTAACAGGGTTTATAACGGTTCAATCCTCATACACCGGGCGCTTGTTCAGTTTAGCCCATAATTCTGTGTAGTATGTAAACTGCTTCGCATGCTCCCCACGGTCTGACACCCCTGTGTCTGTTTCCCCTCCTCAGGTGTGGTTCTCGCGGTCGCGGAAGCAGACCGCGTCCACCGGCGGCGGTCGGGCTGACTCGGAGGGCGGCCCCGGCTCCGGCGACCCGGAACGGCGCGCCGCCGTGCGGGAGCTGTGTCTGCAGCAGCTGACGGAGGTGTGCCAGCAGCTGGCGCGCGCCGCCGGAGTACCACCGTCCACCATCATCAACGTGCAGGCACTACACGAGATGGCCGACCGGCTGCCCACCTCGCGCCAGGAGATGCTGCAGATCACGCACGTCACAGAGGCCAACTTCGCCAAACACGGTGCTCGTCTTCTGGAGGCCATCCGGCCGTACGCAGAGGAAGTGGCTGCTATGGACCGGGAGGAGGCGGCGGCGGCCGCGGCAAAGGCCGGCACCAGAGCGGCGCCGGCGGCGGCGGCAGCCGGGAAGAAGGCGTCGACGGCGGGTAAAGCAGCGCCCCGCCGACGGCGTCGTGGAGCGGTCGGTGGCGGCGGCACCCCGCCCGCGAAGAAGGCCAAGACGGGCCAGTCGTGGGCGGCGGCGGCGGCGCGGAATAAAGCAGTGGCTGTGAGCCGCGGACGGGGACGGGGCGCGCCGGCCGGCCGACCGGCGACCTCCACTCTGGGACTGATGGCGCCCCCACAGCCCAGGTCGTTCCTCGGCGCGCCGCGGATGTCACTGCTCTGAGCTTCGGCTGTCATAGTGTCAATGTGTCGGGGTGATTCCGTGCCCAGCGTGACCCCGGCACGCTGATCGTTGTTGGAAGGTTGTGAACCATTTTATATACCGCATGTGTTATGACGTACGCTGACTCGCCTGTTGTTGAGATGACAATTATGTGATTGTGATATTTGCATTGGTTTTTCACTGCCAGTGACAGTCTTAGGCCAGTGAGGAGAAATAAATATTTCGCTTTTACCTTACACCACTCAATGTTGATGCATGCATTTCTGGAACCTCAAAGAGTACGGACATTGACACAGACATTGACAGTGTAGTCTTCCCGTGCTGCACACGACAGGATGCTAATATGTATGGACTATCGACTTTTTACTGGAGCTGATACCTAATGCCATGATTCAGAGTGCTACCTTCTGTCATGGCACTTTTGGACCACAAACCAGTTATCAAAACTGATATAGCAGGCCAGAGACACGAGAGAAATCGTTAGTTTTACGCTCCCTGTTTAGCAAGACCAAAGACCCGGGCAGACAAAGACTTGCAAAAGGCAGAAGGCAACGTGCAAAAAGCGAACAGAACATAGATAAAGAGATAGATATACATAGCACTTAGCAGGGCATCTGACGGGCGGACGTAGAGGAACTATTGGTACTGAGACGTCATACTAAATACTTGTGATGTCATTCAGCTCGCTGTAGATCCATGACAACTGTAAAATATGCGTAACCTTGATTCTCCATTCTTTCACACGCCCCCGCTATGCGTCGTGTTGTCTTTAGATGGCCTTGGTGTTGTCTGTGTTGTCGTCTCCTCATATTTTGATTTTTAGCTGTGGCGTTTACAGATTTGTGATTCAAGATAGCTGGGAAATTGTTGCAGGAATAACGAACTGCACATTTCAGCAGTTTGACAAGCCAGTCACTCGTGCACTAAAGTAAGTCAAAGTCAAATTGTTTCGATGCCGTTCATGTAAATTTCAAGTTTCGGTCCAGGCCAAGTTCTGGTGGTTTGTGTTTGGAGAAATTAATTCGATTATTATGACAAATATTTGTTCATGTGGCTGGTTGCAGCTGCACTGAGCACCACACTTACTGGAAGCAGTGTTGGCTGGAAATCTGATCATTCCGAATCCGAATCAAAATGACGGAAAGTGAGATGGTGAGGGTCGCCGGTGAAAACAGGGCGCCAGAGGGCATATTAACCACGTGACATTTGTGACTTCTCCCCCTTCGTGGGCCTTCTACATGCTAAACGTCACGTGTGGATTTCACGAACCTTGATAAAATCGCCCCGGGCGCCCTGTTTTCACTGTTGTTCATGATGAGCTTCACAATGATAAATATTGGTGTCAGATTGTACAGTGTCTGCCACACTGATAATATGAGGTTATGTAAGGCCACCTAAACTGGTTGATGCAGGAAATGTACAGGACATGAATGTTTTTGGGCTACTGCGGAAGGCATGGCACACCTTCTTGGGACACTACAACACCATCGTAGATGCAACAGTACCATTCTAACCTGACAAGACAAGGAATCGACATAAGAAGTGGGCCAATAAACAAGTGCTAGATCAGGTGCGACGCAAAGAGGAAGCTTGGATCAGGCACAGGAGGAACAGGAAGTCAAAGAGACTCAAGAAGAAATACATTGAAGCGCGTAATGCAACCACAAAAACTGTTAGACAGGCAAAATATGACTACGAACACAGACTTGCATCTGAAATCAAGTCAGATCCCAGGGCGTTCTATACATATGCAAGAAGCAGGATGTCTATCAAAGAAGAACTGCTGGCAGTGAAAAAGGAAAATGGGAAAATGACAACAACAATGGAGGAAACATGTGAAGTTATGAACCAGCAATTTCAACAGGTCTTCAGGAAGCCTGATGGCACGGAACCACCAGAGCTGGAGCCAGTTGTTGGGGTCAAATTGGATCAGTGCAACATCGACCTGGGAGAGGTGGTGACCTTGCTACAGGAGCAGAAGACTCCAACGGCGCCTGGTCCTGATGGAGTCCACCCTGTTGTACTCAAGGAGTGTGCAACTAGTCTCGCAAGGCCACTGTTCATTATTTTCTGCAAATCCCTTGAGTCTGGACGACTGCCGAAGGACTGGAAGAGAGCGAACGTGACTCCAATCTTCAAGAAAGGCAAACGCTCAGATCCTCTTAACTATCGTCCTGTAAGTTTGACGTCGGTCCCATGTAAGGTGATGGAGAAGTTGATAAGGAGAAAGGTGGTTGATCATCTCAAGTCCAATAATCTGCTCAGTCATCAGCAACATGGATTCCGCTCGAACAGATCCTGCCTGACTCAACTTCTAGAGTACCTTTTCGACCTGGAGAACGCTCTTGATGATGGGGACTGTGTGGACACCCTGTATCTGGATTGCTGCAAGGCGTTCGACACTGTCCCGCACCAGCATCTTGTAGCCAAAGTGCGACGGATGGGTATTGATGGACCAATCATACACTGGATCACTGATTTTTTGACTGGCCGTGAACAGAGAGTGTCTGTCCGAGGTTGTCATTCCAGGTGGAGGGATGTGTTGAGTGGTGTACCCCAGGGTAGCGTACTAGGACCTACGCTCTTTCTCATATACATTGATGATCTCTTGGAGGGTCTGCAGTCATCTGGGAAGCTCTTCGCAGACGATGCTAAAGTCTACAGGAGTATAAGGAGCCCCAATGACAGGATCGACCTCCAAGAGGATATCCACCGACTGCAACTATGGACCAAGAAGTGGCTTCTGAGCTTTAACGAGGATAAGTGCAAAGTAATGCACTTTGGGTCCAATAACCCAGGATACACATACATGATGGGAGGTGTATGTCTTGATACATCTGCAAAAGAAAAAGATCTGGGAATCGTCATTACACCGGACCTCAAGGTCTCAGAGCAAGTGACCAGAGCAGCAGCAGCAGCGAACTCCATGTTAGGAAGAGTGAGGAAAACATTCACCTACATGGACAAGGGAATGTTCCTGCCTATTTACAAAACCCTGGTGCGCCCCCACATGGAGTACGCCATACAAGCCTGGTCCCCGTTCCTCCAAAAGGATATCATGAAGCTGGAGAGGGTTCAGAGGAGGGCTACGAAGCTCGTCCCTGAACTCGCCGACCTTCCGTACCCGGATCGTTTGAAGGAACTCCAGCTGACAACACTGGTAGAGCGAAGGATCAGGGGAGATATGATTGAGGTATACAAACTGATGCACGGGCTCGACAAGGTGAATGCTGGAGAGGAGTTCCTGAGAATGGAGACTGGTGCGAACATGCAGAGGACGCGGGGACATGCACTCAAACTACAGAAGCCAAGACACCGGCTACACAGGCGGAACCAATTCTTCACTTCGAGAGTGGTGGACCACTGGAATCAACTACCATCTGAAGTTGTACTGAGCAAGAACACCAATACCTTCAAAAACAGATATGATAAACATGTCCGTACACTGAGAAGAGGCAGCATCCCATGAGCAACCCGCTCCCTTTGCCTCTTTCCTTTCTACTTTGGTAAGCATCTACTTTGGTAAGCATCAGGCACAGATGGACATTGCCTTGCCAGGTCGCCCAGGTGTATGTCATGTATGCCACAAAATCCACACCTCATGATCATCACAGTCATCCTTTCACAGTAAAATATAAAACAAAACATAATCTTACCTCACCTCACCTTATCTACAACTTACAACCTACTAACCTCAAACCTCCCACCTACAACCTTCAGAATCTGCTGTGGCATATGTTTGGCAAACATGAACTGGGGTACATACGAATGCCCCGGCCCCACCTTGCCTCTTTGTGGCTGCCTTGTGCTGGTGTGCTTTTGTAATGATTGCACTGTGAACCCATCCACTCCATTATTCTACCTATATAACCTGGGTTGTACTGTGACTGGTTGCTTGGTTGTCTTTGGGTGATGGCAAGATTCTTCAGTGTGACTGGTCATCATAGACAGACTCTAAGTTTATCATCTGTTTAAGTTTATCATCATCACTAAGTTTATAACTGTGTGTAGACTACTTAATGACATTCACTAATGCATGACATCTGACAACAGTACATAAGCCAGTTACTGTGATAAATCTTAGGGTTATCATAATTGGGGTACTCCAATCAACATTTTATGAGTTATATAGCTTTTATCTGAAAAAGTGCTAACTGCTAAAGATGGGCTTAGGCTTTGATTTTGCTTATTTGCTTGCTTGCCATTTCTCAGTTTATAGGTCTTATTCCATAATAATCCAGAAATGGAACAAGGAAAATGAAAACCTATGTTTTCAATGAACATGTGAAGTTGTGAACAGTGTTTCACTGTTAACACCTGAACAAAAGCTGTTACTGGCTGTAGATGGAACATAGTCAGGAATGCTTCTGTTCAGAGGTGTGTGTTTTATCAGCACTGGATTGGTTTTGCATAAATATGTTATTAGTGCCGTTTGAAACCGGCCTGCACTAACATGACACTTCAGTGTCTTGAGGCTGGTAAGTTATATACGTCGTCCACTCCAGAAGTTTTGAGACTGGCCTCGTAAAATCCATATGAACAGTGCTAGATACTTGTTGTTCTCACAAGTCCTTACCACAGTTGTTATAAACGTACTTGCGTAATTTTGTTTTTCTACGTTGCAAAAGACGGCAACAGTGTCACCCTGAACATGGCAAGTCGCACGCGGCTTGTCACAGTGACCAGTGTAGAGCACAGTCAGGTTATTCATGTGAAGACAACTTGGAGGGTCGCTGTGCAATAAAATTTTGGGATTAGCTTGGCAAAAATGCCCGAGAAACATAGCAAATTGACCCTCAAGTGACTTGAGACGAAAGCTGGATGCATTTTTAACATCAGGAGACCAAGAGACAGAAGGTCCAATGAAAACACACTGACTCCTTCAGACCCAATAAAGACAGACAGCGCAGGTCCACTGGGAAGCTCAAATTAATCCCTTACTTAGAGCAAAAAGGCAAAAACTTCATAACCTGGGTCCCCTACGGCCAGATGGTCAACAAGGAATGATTCGTGAAGGTTCTGAGGGAGTTGAGAAAGATATTTCGCCGCAAGAGGTCGGAACTCTTCAACTGTGACCAGGGGCTCCTGCACCAGGGCAGCGCACACACCCACAAGTCCACCATGGAGACGAACTATCTGACACAGATGTGCGTCAAAACCGTCCGTAACCCTTCCCACAGTCCTGATCTGGCCCCCGTGGCTTCTGGATGTTTCCCAAACTGACAGGGAAGCTCAGGGGCCGTCTTTCGTAGGATGTGGAGGAGATGAGTGAGGCTGTGACAGAGGCCCTGGGCACCTTCACTTTGAAGGTCTATCAGCAGGCCTTCAGGCAGTGACAGGAGCGCTAAAGCAGGTGCATTGGACTCGGGAGGTTCCATTTCGAGAGTCATACAAGTTTCATGCTTCTCTGAAACAGACAACTGTCTCTACTGAAAAAGTCTCAAAACTTCTGGAGTGCACCACGTATGTGTCATGCTGTCTGCATTCCAAACATCACCATTTTTTTGTTTTTTCCAATACAGGCATGATACACCAACATGAAATGCCATCTAGGTATCTGTCATGAGATGCATATTTGTACTTATATTGACATTTCTGACTTAGGATCTCGGCATCCATCCATAGCTCCAATCAGGCTTGTTCCTGGCCAAATGAGCCTGACCCTCGTGAGACCGGATAGCGGGGGTGCGGAACAAGATACCGCTGCCTCTCTCAGTATCTCGATAACGGTCTCCTATGTGGGATCGGGCGTCGGCCTTCACTATCAAGGTCGGTGGCGTGCACTAGGCTTTGCCGTTATCTATAAGATGTTTTGACACGGCTTCAACTTCTCTGTGGCACCTGGGAGTTATTTGTCGCTCGCACCGATGTTGTAGCAGTTCATAAGTGCAAGGGCACTGCGGCCATTGCTGACTCGTTCGATCCCGA